TGTCAGCTAAGGGGGAAAAATTTATATTCAGCAATCTTAATTCTAAACTATGAAATAATTTCATTGTTATATCCTCTCAATTTCAGAAATGTTTGAACATAGAATTTGTTCCTTGCTTCCTAGCAGTTGGAAAAGTTCCATGTCTCCTGTTTCCAGTTGCTAAAAAGAATGCTTTGCTCATTGCTTCCCCACCCACACCAACTGTCTTGCCTTTCCTGTTGGCTCCTGTTCTTCTCAGTAGTGTGCATAGCATGCTGTGTTGCAGGGGGACTTTTGGATCTGGGATAGTGGTTGGATTGGCTTTCTGTAAGAAGCAGCATGATTGTGGAGATAGTGCTTCAGTCTAGTAGTTTTGACAGAGAGTGTGATGAGCAACTCCACTCCTTTTCTGAGGAGGTGTCTACTTCCAATTTTCTTGATTTGAAAGGTATGCTTGAGAAACAATATTTTCCATGGCTCTTATTCTACCACTGTGTAAAAATGTATGTTTCCGTCTTGAGGTTCTTGAAAGAATTAAAAGTGTATTAAAGTTTGATTTACAGTACAGGGGTCTTACTGACTCAGAACGGTAGGATGGGCAGTTTGCCATCTTTTTATTAAAAATTGGTGAGCATTGTTGAAAGTAATACATTAGAAGAAACACTTGTTTCAATTGTAATTATTAAGACCTTTTAACATTCTTTTTCCATTATATTTGTAAGAGAACTGTTTCTTAAAGAGATTAAAGAAAGTGATTAATCACTGAGATATTTGAGATTATTATAACCTTTTTGCTTCTTATACAGACAATGCCTATAATTTTTCATTGGTTAAATTAAAACTATATTGGTCAGTCTTATTGGCAACCTATGGTAAATCTGGGATGAGAGAATACAATCATTCCGATCTGGCTTAATTTCTCAGTTACATTCTGGATCATTTCCAAGAGTTCAGAATTGGGAGGATGAGGGGAAAGAGGACTGTTTTACATTTGATTTCAGTTGGTAGATCTCAGCACTCTCCATTAAGGAGCTATCCAATCTCCTCATAAAGCCACTAGAAGAGATCATCCAGTGTCATGTGATAAGGTATAATCAGTACAGGTATTCCTCAACGTACAACCATTCCAAATTATGACACACCTGAAAAATCGGACCTGTGACCCAGATTCGAATTTCCAACAGTTAAGGACCCTCCACAAGTTACATGACCGAACTTCAGGTGCTCAGCAACATGGCTTCATTTACAATTGCTTGAAGCATCCCACAGTCATATGACCATGTTTTATGATAATTTTGCTGAAAACCAGCACTTCTGATTTTCAGTAAAACCGTGCTGATAGCAAACCACTGATGTGCTTAATGTCTGCTGGGAAAAAGGTCATAAAATCAGGTCATAATATGACCAACCCATTTTACGATTGTCACAACTTATATAAAACATAATAGGCTAATTCGATTACAGAATGAATGAGGCAATTAGTAACCATAGTCTACCAGTACATACTACTTGTTAAATAGTATATTGGCTCTTGATCAAGTACAATTAAATATCTCTGTACTCTGTGTATGTCTCTTATGAGTGCACAGATACATAATTTAAAATGGAGTAAATTATGGTCAGATGTTAATGGCATTTTCTCAGTCATTGAGTTTGCTTTTTAATGTTTGTTTCATTAGTTAGTACTGTAGATGGAGCTTCACTAGCTGGCAAAGCAAGTGGATGCTAGATGCTGTTGATTATGTGCAGATCAGGAGACTATCTCCCCAATCCTCTTGTCCACTCCATTGTACCATGTCCTTAATAACATTCCTGTTGACTAAGCACTGCATGTATGAGGTGAAAAGTTCTAATTCATTTAAGCACAAGACTTTAATTTTTATATGATATTATTTCTGCTAGTCTTTTGATTATGAAATTGTATCTAATCTTGATTTTTATGTGCCACAGTCACTACATTACCATATTGCAAAGAAAATTTTAAAAATGCTTTTCTTTCCTTTGTTTTCTTTTCAGAGGCTCTCCACCGCCCCTTTGGTTGTGACACTGAACCACAGGCACTGAATGAAGCTATCAGGTGGAGTTCCAAGGAGAACCTTCTAGGAGCCACTGAGAGTGACCCCAATCTTTTTGTTGCACTTTATGATTTTGTAGCAAGTGGTGACAACACACTCAGCATCACTAAAGGTAAACATAATTGCCTCCTATTTATACATATGAGAGCATGTATGAATGTAATAAGAAACAGACCTAATTTTGATGTGCATTAATAGTAACAGAAGTTTGCAATAGTGGCAAATATCTGTAGGTCGGGTTAGGATGAGGGTGAAGGTTCGTTTGTCGGTGTCAGTAATAAAATGTATTTATTGAAAAGGCAACAGCAATAATTATTACAGGAAAAGCTGAAGGGCACAGAAATGATAGGATTATCAAATATGGGGAAATCATAAATATATCTTACAACTTTTTATCAAGAAGGGAGGAGATTGTACTTTCTTATATTCTTTTAATGTAGGAAAATATATTCCTTTATATTTTTTCTTTAAGCAAATGATAACAACCCAAAATTTATTTACATTCGATTTAAAAATTAAATTTACCAAGATCAAATTTTATTTCATTAAACTATGAGAATATTTTCTTTATCTAAAATAGTATTGTATAATGTGATTTGTAACATTGGCCAAAAATAGGCAACTATTACTAAAATGTCAAAATGATTAATCGTATGTAAAGCCTTGAATTTGATTGTCCTAGTCAGAAAAGAGAATTATGTGCCAGGGTTATAAAACACTCTGAATTTCAAAGTGGACTCCCGAATGTGATGTATGTATGTGATAGTTGACTTAAGATTCATTGCGTAGGCAACAAACATTGCTTATACTGTATTAACTTTTTGCTCAAATCTACAAGACACTTACAAAAATAGCATCAGAATACACTATTGTTCCATATTTGCATTGTTAGTGCATCTACCAGTTGGTAAATTGTTGAGCTT